AGGAAGGAGATGAAGTAGAGGAGCATCCACGGGTTGTAGTTCATGACTGGCTGCAAAGTGAAGAAAGGCGAATGTCAACTGAACCTCAAAAAAAACCAAAAGGGAGCAAATTGATACAGCTGCCCCATCCTCAAAACCCGTGGGTGCCCCTTTGAGGCAGCTCAGTGTGCTCTGCTCTTCCTGAAAATTAGAGACCTCTGAGACATTTTAACTGAATGCTCCCAAAACACAAAGCACGTTGAGGAAAGAAGAACCACCTCTGTTCTGCCAACAGCAGGACAGTAGCATCCTTTGCAGTTATTGTAAGTCCCTCACTGAAAACCTGAATCCACACAAAAGCACTTCTTTTTTCCTGAAATGTCCAAATTGCTTAAAAAGTCAAACCATTCTTCAACAGGTGTGGTTCTCCTAACACTAGTTACACCAGTTGTGTTGCAAAATCTGTCGGGAAAAGGCTAGGTCCAAATCCAGACTTTTCACTTGACTCCTTGTCACACCCCAGGACTTGAGTTAAACGGCTCCCTTGATCCCAAGCCCATAACCCCATTTGGCTATGGAAGCCAACAATATTTTGCAAAACAAGAGCCAAAACATGTGACCTTTGACAACTCATTTCTTATAGCTCTGCTAGAGCACGTACCTGCTGGTCAACTCCCACAGCATCTAAGCCATCGTACATGATATCCACCCACCCATCCTTGGAGGCCAGAACAAAGAGAGACATCAGGGCCTAGAAATACATGGGGAAAAAGTTAGACATAGTTGCACTAAAGCTTTTTTACCTGTAACATTTTACTCCTCTTTGCCCTTTCCTGCCTGGGGATTATCATTACCTGTCTGATAATGGGACACTGATGTCCAAGGTTTCTCCCGGCAGCAAAAACCTATCAATGTCAGCACCTGGTTCAGCAATGAGCGCTAATTCGGAAACCACAAAGCCAAAGACAAAAACAGCTTCATTTCCACCCTCCAGGTCTCTACTGCTCCCGACTAATTAGTCCTTACCATGCTGCTAAAATAAGGCTGTGTTGCAGAGATAGTTGAAAGTGTCCAGCTCTATTAGACAAGACCTTCTGCAAGATATATTTGGTTTGTTATGTAGCAGTGAAGCAATTAAGTACTCCACAAAGCCACATGTGCTTGTTCTGTTCCGAAAAGAAGTGTATGCCTGCTTGGAAACACTACCTTTGGGATTTACAGAGACAGAATGCTGTGTATGTGAACTGAATATTTACTGCGACTGGTAGTGCCCTGTAAGAAAATCCCATGGGATAACAATGCACAGGTTTTAAGTCAAGGAGGTAAAGGAGCAAAGAAGCAGATTACCATTCTATTAATACCTGGCCGAGATTATCAAAATTATACTTGTGCCGGACCCATTTGTAGCTTGCTTCTGTACAATCCGATTTATTTGTGATGTTTCTGGTGTCCTCCCCCTGGCAGACAAAAAACTTGCCTTTGAAAAGCTGCAAAACACGCAAAGAAGAGAGGAACTGTAAGGGTTCAGTCCACAGGATTTCTCTGCAGATAATGGGCATTTCTCCTGAGCCCACACCGATCAGAGAAGTTAAGGGAAATGGCCTCATTTGTGCTGGTTATTAAGTGCGAGCAGCCAGTATAATATGCACCTAATGAGCAAATGCATGATTTCACATCATTTAGGACACCCACCTCGTGCATTAGGTCGTCTGGTTCAGTGGTCTGAGACTGGCCTAAAGGCCTTTGCTTCTGGGTCGCCAGCTCAAGTGTAGCCCCAACTAATAGCCCAGACCAGCTAATGGCTTCTTACCACGTGTGGAATGACTCCGGCGACTCTCAGCCCACTTAACGATGCTGGTTTCAAGAGTCACCGACAAATTAAGTGTAACAGGGGCCCTCTGTCAGCAGAGAAAAGGTGGCACTGAAGAGGCTGAGCTCTGCTCTTACAGGTCACAAGTGGACACGTCAGAGAGGAGCCGAGCTGCTGCGAGTGACGTTGGGCTCTCGCTGAATCAAGATTGCTGTCAGTCCAGCTCCGGTCTCTGATCCTGAATGCTGTTCTCCAGCCATCATTAGGCTCTGCAGTCCATGCAGGGGTCTCTGAAAATATTCCTCGTGCAGAGCTTAAGGAGTCAAGCCCAACTGGTGCTGGGTAGCTGATCCCGAGCTTATTTCCTTTGGTGTAAATCAGGAGAGACGCAACTCCTGGGACTCAGCTCCTGATTCACACCTGCACGAGGAATATGAGCCTCCACGCACTTAATTCTAGACCTGGTGTTTCCCACGCACATAATAGAGAGTGGCAGGAGATGATTACTGCTTCAGACAGGGTGATTGATGCTAGCAGGATGGATGGTATCAGAGCCCGGGAGACATCCAACAAATCTGGTTTTATTTGCTGACAGAAGCTATTGACATTACTGTTTTGGGGGAAAATAGCAGCCTGCTCTCCAGGCTCCTTAAAACACCACCTGGGTATACAGAGAAAAGATGCTGATAGTTTTTGATCTGTTGTTCTAGACAAATATCAGTAGAAATAATAGCGAACAAGATAAACCCACGCATTACTCCATAGGTTTCCTTCAGAAATCAACAGCAGAAGGATGTTCTCTAGGCATGCAAAGTTAATCACCACTCAATGCAGTCATAAGCTTCTGGATGTAAGAAGAGAAGTATTCCCTGATCTTTCCATGGAGAAACACTATCCAGGGGTAAGGCAGACTGGGGAGATATAGCCTTCACAAAGAAAAGTTTTAATGAAGCAGGAAGGTAAACAATTGTTTTTAATATATTGTCTATAAAAATAACTTCTCTAGGAGCTGGACTGCAATGCCACTCAGACGGGAGCAGTAACACAGCTACTAACGGGGTTTGGAAATACAAAGCCCCATTTGCAAAAATGCTGACCCCTGCCAGTGTTTCAGATTTTAGCACTTCTGAAAGTGAAAGACCCAGTGATTCCTATGGTACTTATTTTATCAATCTATTTCTTGTGTCTTGTTAATGACTATTCATGTGTGACAAGCTCTACAATAAAAATAGTCTTGCTAAGAGGAAACACTGTTAGAAACACGGACGTCTGGATTTTAATAGCATTAAAAACCTCTAGTTTGATCCCCAGTTTATTTTTACATGGGAAAACCAAACTGTAACTTTGAGAGATCATCTTTTTATAGAAAATAGCTATGGCCCTCATCTTACACCTAATTAGCAATAAATATTAACTGAGAATTTTGCATCCTGAATACAGGATCAGTCTTGCTTCTATCTACCACTTAAGCACATCGATAGTCAAGACAATTTAATGTAAGACTGCAAGTCACTAGGGAAAGCAAGCACAATTAGCAGAGAGGAAATTCAAAGAGCATACTGCAAGTTTTGTTGTTTGGCATAAATTTTCCTGTGTCTGAGTTTTATATTGTTTTACGGTATATGCTTAGTTTTATGAATCTGTTTAGTATAATGGATGGATGTTGTTGTACTGTAATGCTAAACCAATCTAGCTGCTGAGGTGTTTATGGATGACATGATTTCCTTCTCTGTTTATTTTCAATGCTGTATTTATTATTTAAACAGTATATTAGTACAAAATATTATATAAGATACCTTTCCAAAACAAAGCCAAACAGAGCTGCTTTCCAAAGCTGGCTGTGACAGATCAGATAAACTTCAGAAAGAAATAAGTGTTATGTCAGAATATTTATATGAAACAGTCTCTTCTTCTTAGGTAATGAGAAACCAACTGCATTGGAAACTCTGCCACTTTTCCCCCGTGTTCCTGCACTCCTGGGACTGAGGATATTTCCAGCAGAGCAGACTCAGAAATCTCTATTTCTGCAAGCTTTCAGTTATACAAACTGTCAGAATCTGAATGAATCTCCAGGTCAAGGTCTCTCTGGAGTTTACAAACCAACGATTTCAGCTTTGAGAGTTTCTATTTCCCCATTGGTTTATACCTAGAAGAAAGGTGGAGGGGAGATGTCCCCATGTTATCTCCCAGGCAGAACAGGAATGGGATTTAACAGTTTTCCTAAGCAGAGTTTTTCTGGTGGTACATGTCATGCCTCAGGCCTGACCCTTCTGTGGTGTGCCTGGGGGAAGAAAGTGGAGAAATATCTTGATTCACATCCCACTGCAGGCAGAGCAGAAGTCCTTGTGGTGGGGAAAGAATGAAGAAAGTCTATTCCGTGCCTTTGAGGGGGTCATCATGTTGACTTTTGTATCACTGCATGCAACAGGGAAGCTTCAAGAAAGTTCAGCACATCAAGTGACACATAGCCAAGATTTGGAAGCCAGGAATAAATGCGTCTTGAGAGCACTAAGAAGGCCACGCTGTGCTGCTGGGGTGGGGACCAAGAGCCGCGTAAGCCCTTGGGTGTGAGTCATTCCAAGCTGTTAACTATGGCAAAGTTATGGATTCAAAACCAACACGTTTCTAGAGCTGGGCAGAGGACCTTCATGGAACCAGAGAGAGGCAAAAACCAACCCCACTGCCTGGCTCTAAACATTGCTCCTTCAGCTATGGCTAGGGATGTGTGTTGCTGGGCCACTGTTGTTAGGTTGTAATTGTTAATGAGATTTTAATGGCTGACCAATAATGGGAAATCTGCTTCCTCCTCGCTAGGAGCAAGGAATGTTCCCCAAGAAGGCCAAACAGCCCATTGGTTCTGTTTCAGAAAGGCTTCTAGTGTGCCCATTGGTACAGATACCCAGATGTGGGGCCATCTGGGGCTCGTTACAACTTTGGGTTAGGTGCTGAGCCTTACAGGGGACTCACCTGAACTCCCAGGATCCCGAAGATTATGAAAAAGGCACAGCAGATGACCACAATGTTCCCAATGGGCTTCAGGGATGACATGAGAGTCTCCACCACCAGCTTCAGTCCTTGGGCTCGACTAATGACTCTGTGCGGGCAAGTAAGTACAAAAGCTATGTTAGTCCTGTTCTTGCCCAGTTCTGCCTCCTATCAAGATAGAAAATGTGGAAAAAACAGCATTAGGGCATTTTTTAGAATGGCAAATAACTCAAAAATCATGATTAAAGAAGCAGTTCTGGAAGATTGACCTTGTGAGATTATGGAGGTGTTTGAGAGAAAGGGGTCTCTGCCTACACATACAGCTTCGCATAAAAGAAGAGGAGGAGACCACATGAGGAGCCAGGCCAGAAAAGTCACTGGCGAAAGACCTAGGAAAGGAAGATATATAGGCTAGTCCCATATTTTTCAAACTTGGAATGATGGTTTTAATCTAACCCATTACCTATTCTTGATCCATTTGGTGATCAGCATCTTCTAGTTACCATTTGCTATAATATATTCAAGCCTTGGCATTTTCCTTTTCCTATCATTTAGTCCGAAGAGCTCTCTAGGTTTCCAGCCTTGATCACACCTTCCCTGGGATCTAGCCTCTTGGTTTGGGCCATCCACAAACACACACCTTTATGCCTGTAGCCTGTCCAGGACTTCAAAGAGAGGGCCTCCCAGT